TTGAGGCCCCGGCCGCCCCACAGCAGCGCATGCGCGCAGGCCGCCGGCTGCGGGGAGCCATGGCAGCGCCATGCGGGGCGGGGCCGGGCCGGAGTGTCCTGCCACACGGGCCGAGCGTTCCGCGGTCACACCGCGCGCAGCTCCGTGTCCCCGCAGGGTCGGCAGCGCTGTGTCGTGCTGTTCACCAGGGACACTGCTGAAGCTTTGGTAAGGTTATAGACTGGTGCCCGCGTGGCAACGGGACTGTGCGGCCTCGGCAGCTACCGTCAAATCTCTGTGATGTGATTTAACAGCCTGCCCCTCTTAAAGATGGGTGCTGCTGTGAGTGAACATTAAACATTTAGTAAGGGCTCCACAGAGATCAGAGGGAGTGTTGTACTGCACTACGTAAAGATGACACACAGTGCCATTTGTTGAGTGCTCCTTGTGCTCTTTTCCCGTCCCTGTACGCGGCTTCCCTCAGGGCCTACTGGGAATCCTGGAATAATGCGATGGGTCAGGCTGGGAGGGCCCACAGTGGCTCATTTGGTTCCCCCCCACCCCGTGCTCCAGCAGGGCCATCCCAGAGCACAGGGCACAGGATTGTATCCGGGGGACTCTGGACTATCCCCTGTGAGAACAGTCTGCACACTGTCTGGGCAATCTCTTCAGGGCTGGGGCACTGCCCTGGAGAGAAGTTCTGGCTCCTGTGCAGGGGGAACTTCTTGGGATCAGTCCCTGCCCGTTCCGCTGATGCCATTGCTGGGCCCCCCGGAGCATAGCCCGGGCTCTGCTCGGAGCCCTCCCTGCAGACAGGGACACCCAGGGATGAGGGCCCCTCTCGAAGCTGAACAGCCCCAGCTGAGCCTTCAAGGAGGGTGGTGGTGAAATGAAATGGAGCTTGAGGCTTTCTAGGAAAAACTGCTTAATGTGGAACACGGCAGAAGCTACTGTGCAACCCTCCCTGCACTCCCACCTCCTGGCCAGCCTCACAAAGAAACTACTCGCTCCATTGCTTTACTTTCACCTTCTTAATGAGAGGAAATATGTGTGCCGATGTCTTTAATAAGCAATTGGATGAGTGAAGGTATGGCTGTTAACGTATTTGAAATGGGTCTGAATGTCTCTGCTGACTTTGGGGGGCGGGTTCCTAACAGCTTTCAGGAGCTGGGCTCCTGAAACAGGCAAGAAGGGTCTGCACAAGGTGGAACTTCTGAACTTTGGGGTAAAATGACAGCTTCAAGGGGGGATATGTGGAAGGTGGCTCGGGAAGGCTGTACCTTCCTATCAGCAAAGGGAAAGGAAGAGGGACACACACGGCCGGGAGTTTAGGATAAAAGTGAGGCTGTGCCCTCCGAAACCTCGGGAGAGAAAAGCCAGCAGGTGTGTGGCACGGTGGGCTCGCTCCCTTTATTCGAATAAAGTTGAAGGACTCTTCTGTCTCCTTTTTGGACATAAACCTCTGGCGTTTGTGGATTTTCCTGACATTAACTTCCTAAGTAATGTGTTAGGTAACTGTATTATTGTAATTTAATTGGAAACTGGGTAGAACTCATAACGCTTTTTGTCTTGGACTGCCTAAATTGCTTTGTTTTTCTTTTGAGTAATGAATGAAGATGAAATTGTAACAGTGTGAAAGAGATGATTCACTAGATTATTAGACTGGATGAGAGTGTGCTGCTGGTTGAGTTAATAATAGCTCATGCACAGCTCTGTCTTATATGAAGTACACAATGCACAAGGTTATGTGTATTTTCTCTCAAGCTAATTTGGCCAAGTGTAAGCACACAGCCTATTTCATTCTACTTATACATCGTAAAATCAAATTAGTTGTTTAAGAACTTAAAATTACCTGTAACTGTGTGAGAAACAAGTTAATGGGAATTGGCTTTCACAGGACATTATATTAATTGATACTAAATATTATAATGTTGTTAATATTAAGATAATGGCATGTGTTGTAAAGTGGTTGGTGTTACAATGGCCTAGTTGTGAGGATGGTTTTCACAAGGATGGTTTTGTATGTTGTAATGTGGATTTATGAGTTTTACATTGGGCAGATTGTTGCTAACCAAACCTTTGAGACGCAACATTTAAAGTAGTAGAACTTCATCCAGTGATGGCCCTGATGACCACAATGATGAAATTACGTGGGCGCTGAAAAGAGTGACATGGGGCAAGACTATGTGAAATCAAAATAAATATGCAAAAAGCTGAAGCAATCCCAGGGGTATAAAAGGTGGAGCCATCATTTTGTGTATGAGCCTCTGGTGTTTGGCCATGCTCCCAGTGCTGTCCCTTTTGCTTTGCAAGTTTTTTTATTGTGCTCAATAAAACTTTTATAACTCTTTCACACTCAGGGTCTGGGTCGTTTATAGCAACTGTAAGGTTAAGTCCTAATTCTACAACTATAGTTACTGAACTTCTGAAGGGCAGTGATGAGAGAAATTCATCCTATCAAATCTTCTTCTCTACATCTTAATCCTTTGCAGAGAAAGAAGAAAGCAACCAAAGCATGAGGAAAAGGAAAAGACAAAGATACAGGAATATAGGGATCAGACTCAAGAAATCCTTGAGCTCATCTTTGAGAGCAGGCTTTTCTCTCTAAAACTGGGAGGGAAAATAATTGTCCCCTATTTCTTTCAGCAGGGCAGGAAAAAGAATCATTGTGAGTAGAAATGACATGGGGGGGGGGAAAAATGTGTCCTCAAGCATTAGATAAATTAATTACTTCAAACATTGCGCATTTTACTGTTTACAGCAGCTGCTAGAATGTTCCAAGGGGAAGGACTGAAATTAATTGTCATCTGTATATGTTTGAATTTATAAAAATCACACTATGTTACAGATGTCCACATTTATGTAACCTGTGATTTCTGTAATCTGTGAGTTGATTTTTCTTTAAAGGGCCTGCTAACAATGCTTTTTCCACTCCAGTACAATATTCTTAAATATATATGAGGTTTCTGGAAGTCTTTCCAACAGCACATCCCTGCACCATGCCATCATTTCTCATCCTGCTCTCCTTTTATACCCATAAGAACTGTAAGAACACGTGACAATAAACAGCTTGTTCTGGATGAAAGTGGAGTCTTCACTTGAAGCACATTTCTGCCACCACCAGCAGCAAAATCTGGCAATTTGTTCAACATTCTAATACAGGAGTAAAAATTTCAGACTACCAGCAAATTAACTTGCTTTTCAGAAAGCTCCTTCTGCTGTGAAGAAGTAAAAACTGCCTCCAATGAATATTGCACTCCACATCCATAGAGGGGAAAACAGGACTTCTGGTGGAGATGCGTCCAGGTTTAGCCAGCACATTTCAGGAAGAATTGAGAATGTCAAAGAAGCCCAGCAGGAATGACAAATGTATTTAGGAGATTTGATCCAGAAGAAAGACTTGGGCAGTTGGAATTGTTTACCCTAACAAGGAGAAGACTTATGGGAAACGTGACAGCACTATGTAAATATGTGTATCAGAAAATTTAGACAATGCCCTGATCTGCTTGTTCATGCGGGACAGGATTACACTGAAAGGGCCAAAAGTAAACCCAAAAAATGTCTGCTAGAGATGAGGAAGGGCTGGTAAAAGCTGGTGAAGCTTGAAACAGGGTGCTTGAGGCAGATGAGAATCTCTCCTACTGGAGGTTTATAAGGCCACTTGAAAACATGATGAAGGATTTTGTAGTTTATTGTTAAACTATTATTCAGTTTATTATTAGACTATAATTTAGTCTTTGCTGGTGTGATGAGTGGATTGCAGGGTCCCATCAGGGCTCCCTCCAGCCCAGTTCTAATTCCGAGCTGGCTGTGTTGTGACTGACACTCAGGTGACAAAATGGATCCCTGCTGCAAGGTGAGTGGAGCAGTTTCCAATGGGATGTTTCCCTGAAGCTTGCTGCTCAGATTCACTTACTTCCTTTACTGCTTCCTGTCTGGGAACCAGAAATGTTAGTTTTCTGGGAAGATGCTGATCACCAGTGTTCTTCCCAAAGTTACACCCAGAATACCATTTTTGAATTCAGCTTTGTTTTGGATCTTCAGTTTATCTTTGAAAAGAGGGGAACATATCCTACACCCAGTCATTTTCTTTGTACTTCAAGCCTTAATGTCAAGATGCAAATTACTGTGAAGTATGGAGCAGACATAAATTCTGTGCTAGCTCTCCATCCTTTGTGCTGCAAAGGTCTCTTTTTAATTTTCCAGTCTCTTTGCTGCCCTTACTTTCTTCTCTTGTCTGACCTGTTTCTATGAGAGAGAGCTTTCACTCACCTCCTTTCTGCTGGGTTTCCTGTCCTTCCACAAAGTCTTTGTTAGTTGCTTTTTTTGTAACCTTTCTCCATGTTGCTGGACACCTTCATCCATTTTCATCCATGCATCCTCTCTTGAGCCCAACATTTACTACCCTGTTTTGTGCCATCTTTATTAGTTATGATATAATCTAATACTTCATGATAAGAGAGACTAATTTGTTTTCTATGTAATCTAGACCAGACCTTGAGAAAAAATGCAGTAAAGTGTTAATAATAACTGTAATGTGTAGTAGATTACCATCCCTGGCACAGAATGGTCTCAGTTAAATAGAACCACACAAGTATGGAATAGCTGAATCTGGATGGGCCTCTGGAGTTTCTCCAGTCCAAGCCCCACATTCAGCAGTCCCATGTCTGGTTTTTGTGATGGCTTCTGCAATACTGGGGTTTGTAAAACAGTTCTGATCACAGCTTTCTGAGAGCTATAGAAGAATGTTGGTTAGTTTTGATCTTAAAGGGTACATTGGTGCTAGAGCAAAGATTATCTGCAAATAAAATTCATGAAACTGAATAATGATAATGAACTGAGAACAGAAGTTCAGGGAAATTTGGTGATGCATAATGAGATAATGCTTTGTGATGATGCATAATAAGATAATGCAGAAAAAAATACAGCAAATTACAGTAGGCAAAAAGAAATCTCTTCTGTCAACCTGGGATTCAACTCTGAAAGAATTTCTGAGAAACTTCAGTAGTTTAACACAAATGCAATCTTAAAATACTTTTTATTAGGAGCCTCATTTGAAACAACACCATGCACACACTGTGGAGTTAGGAGGATCTTTTTCATATTCATGTGGATAATAACTTGATGTTTGCTTACATATATATTTAGAAAGAACATCTTGTACCTCTGCAGCTAACACCTTTCCTGCACATTGAAAGGAGCATTTGGATTATTCTGTAGCACTTGCATAATGAATCCTTCCATAGGCCTTGCAGGAATGTCCTGGGGACTGCAGCAGCCCTCTGGTGGCAGGTGTGACCAACATGTAAGACAGTGCCAGCTGGGCACAGAGAACAGGCAAAGCCATTGACCCCATCACTAAATACTTCAGCCTCAACAACATGAGCACCACACAGATGTAGCTGATGATGAAGAGGCTTTGCAGCACCCCTCACTTCCCCAAGCCCAGCCCACTGGCTGCACCTCTGATCTGTGTTATCAGCAAGGAACATCACAAATGACAGCAGGGACAGAGTCTCTTGGCAAATGTCCCACAGAGAAATTGTAGATCTCTTTCAGGAATAGAGTACATAAATAAAAGGAAAATATTTGGGTATTGTCTATTTCTAATCCATCTGCTGATACTGGTTAGGAGATCTCTGGGAACTGTCCTGTGTCACCTTGGTCAGTTAGCCCTGACCAACAGAATAAACCCACAGTTTATTCACACATAAATATCTGAGCCTTCACAATGTTATAAAAATAAGGAGCTTGGTCTGGGGATGAATCAATTAATTTCTGGACAATATGTCCCTTCAATCACATGGAGTATTATTGTATTATCACAAGGACAACAGAAAAACATTGTAAAATTTTAGCAAACCTTTAATTTTAAAAACTAGTGGGAGGATAGTGACTAAATGGTTAGTTTTAAGCTGTACAGAAAAAGGGTGCTTGGTCCAAGTAGATTACAGGCTTAAGCAACATAATTTCTAACATCAAAATTACCCCCTTGCTATTTTGGAGTGAGTAACTCAACTTAATTTGGTCTTCCTGCTGTTTTTCCTCTTCTTTGAGCCATTTTCTCTAAGATCCTACCTTTATCAGGAAGAAAATGTGTCGCCTGCAACATCTTAGGGAAAGGCTTAAAGATTCCCTGTGGTAGTTGTACACCAAGAGGACAAGGAAACTGGTGTTAGGTGCAACAGGTGCAGGCAGGAAATAGGGAGTTTAAAACTTACTGTGTTCTGCAACATTACATCCTGTAGCTGGGAACTTCAGGCATTTTTGACAGCTGGGTCTCCATGGAAATAAGTACAAAAAGACTCCAGCTATTTTAAGAACTTAAACTGAAGGATGCCAGAAGGTTATGGATAGATAATACATCTGGGGGAAATCAGTACATTTCTGGACAACTCTTATCCTTCAGTTCATGTTTTTTGCTCATACTGCCTGTACCAACTTAACTGGACAACAGCAGAGGGGGGAGAGAAATGTGCCTAGTTTGGCAAGAAGGTCTCAGACTCAGGGATGTCAGAGAAAGTAGCAGCTGTGTTCAGTTCTGCTTTCATGTGGTTCAAGGCAGTAAAACCAATAGGTATCATCTTAGAGGCTTTGTGACAAATTAAAAATTAAATAAAACAAACAGAAGCACCAGACTTATCTGTTAAATTCAGTTTTCTGATATTCTTATCTTCCAAGCTCCCACAGCTGTTGTTACCATTTCTACCATCACAAGGCACAGCCAGTCTGGCCACAGAGACAAGTACTGTGTAGTGTCTCACCACTTGTCCCACTTCTCCACTCCATGTCTAAGCTGTTCACCTGAGCAGACTCTCATCCAGAGAGGCTTCAGAAAGCTTTTTACAGAGCCTTCTTTAGAATACTGTCCACTTGCACAAAGCCCGGTGGCATTTGCCGCCATTCCATCAGACTATCTTTGGAACCCCAAGTGGGTAGGCAGTCCATTTTTAGCATAGGAATAGGAATGTAGGTTTTTTTCTGCTGGAAACTTGGAAGAGAGCTGCTTTTCTCCCCCAGCAATACGCCTTTCTAAAGGGCAGGCCAAATTAAATACCTGGATAGATTTTTATGCCTTAGCAAATCCAATGTTCTCTAACTCTGTTCATCTGCAAATCTGTGCACAATTTAAGCAGCATTCCTAATTAGGATAATGTTTACACAGAAAGCTATATTTGTTTTATATCCAGCTTTTAGTTTCTAAACTTTGGGGAATATACTTTATTTTTTACAGTTTAGGGAGTCAGGGATAAAACCAAAAAAATCTGAGCTTGTCTCATTGTTAAGAAGTTAATAATTTTTATAGAAAGCTTACTCTACTCCCCTCTCCACACATAGAAGAACACAGCCCAGAATTACTGGGAACTGATCTAACTCTCTGTATTGGACAGAAAGCTCACCTGCTCCAGGGAGGTTTTACTTGGTGGCCACACAAGTTCTTCTGCAACCTGGAAAAGTGAAATGCTTCCCAGGGCCAGGGAAATACCACAGCTACTGAACTATGGTGATTACACAGAGAGGGTTCTGGTGAATAAAGCAAAAGGAATGTAAGCTTATGGTTTCTCTTGCTGATTTGTAGGTTGGAGAGCCAGGTGCTTCCATAATGATGCCTCAAAACTCCAACCTGCATGGCACAAAATCATCTCCTCTTGAAAGGTTTCTACCTACAGGTTGTCCTCTTCCACCCATTCTCACAAGCCTTTGCTAGGCCTCTTCTCCTCCAGTAAAATTACTGTACCTTTTCTACACTCACACAATTAGTAACTGTACCTGCTAAAAGGTCCTGTAGTTTTCAAACCAGCTATATCCACGAAAGATCTGTGCAGACAGACAGATGCATTCTCAGTCATCCTTGTCATGTCTTCCCTGCTCTCCTTGGTGCCTTTGGTGTTTTCTCTGGGCAGGGACTACTGCCACTGAGCAAGCTGGTGTAACACCCATCTAAAGCTGAATCATGTGACCGGCAGTTCTGAATTTTCAATAAAGAATGACCAGAAAAGTGACTATTTTATTATTTTTTAAGTAATCAACATGGAAACAATAGCAGTGATTAAGACACAACAGGCTTAGCCTAATAGTAACCACAGCATTAATATTTAACACGAATATAACAGAAATGACAAGTATGTTAACATTATTCATTCTCAGTCAATGAACAAAAGTGTACAGTAAGGTCAGCATTAATCTGTTAATAATGCTCCAGAACCAGCTGGCCAGTGTCCTCTAAAGCAAAGTGCTTGCTTCCAGGCAGGCTGGGGTGCTGCTGTCTGCCCCTCTAGGCAGCCATGGACCCTTTCTCTTCCCCTCTTTCTGCCTGTGGTTCTGGTGTTTCCCTCTGTTTGTTGGGGTATCAAACCAGGGCCTGCTTGAAGGAAAAGAAGCCCCGGTGCCACGGGCCGGCCCTCACTTGCTGTGTCCCCTGGGTGGTGCACAGATGCAGCCCAGAGCTCCAGGCAAGGCTTGCTCTACTGAGAGCATGTGACCTGCATCAGTATCTGCTATTCAGACTCTCTCCCCACCCTCCCTGACCTCCTTGCTCCAAGGATATGATGTGCTTTTGGAGCTGTACCACTTTTAAGATGCTTACTTTTACATATCACTCTTTAACAGGAATCCTGTAACACAAAATAGAAATCTTTCTTCTGTAGGAAGGGGGTTCTTTCAGTGCACCCCTTCCATCTCCTAGTCCTTGTACCGTACTGTCCTCTTTTCCAAAACATTTACTAATGCATGTATTTGGCCACCTGCCTCTTAATGGAAGTACCAAAGTGACACTCAAAAGAATAACTTGCATTTGGTATTGTGGTCCTGGCCCCTCTTGGTCTGAGCAACATAGGATAAACTTCTCAGCTAGAACATTTCCATAATGACAGGGAGGGCTACACCCTCAAAAATAAAATTCCTCAGTCTTTTTTAGAACCAAACTAGAGGACATCAGTGTGAACAAAGCAGTAGTCTCCATTGTTCTTCCCATCAGGATTCCTCCTAGGGTTCCACCAGCTGCTGTGTTGTGTTCACTGTAGAGACAAGAGAAGACATCAGCTTGTATATTGTCAATTCTACAAGTTTTGATGGAGATGGAAAAGAAAAAATCATACAGCCCACTCAAGTGGGCCTTTTCTCCCAAATGCACTTACTAAGGCCTCCCCTACTCCTTCTCATACAGCTCTTATGTTGTGTTGAAAAAAAAAACCAAAAAGCAACACAAACCCAAACCAAACCACAACAAATAAACCCACCAGCCCAGGAAAGTATATTTCTGATTATTTCTGTAGAGGGTTCAGTAATGGTTTTGGACACACTGTTCTAAGTTGCTAAGTGTTTACCACTAACTACTAACTACTTTTAATCATCTTTTTATTACTTACAGCAAAACAAAACCATTGCCCAATACAACAGATTTGTGCTATCAGGCCAGGATCAGCCACTTTCAGGAACAGCACAGTACGCCCAAAACAAGACATATCAAGGTACTGACTATTTGCATTCCTCTTGTGGACCACCAGGCTTAAACAATCCAGAGGAAGGTAAAAAATCCCGCAAAGCTAAGCCATAGTTTCACAACACGCCATCCTCTGCAGCAATACTGCTTTAGGATATTCCCTGGCACCCCCTGCTCTGCAAGCCCTGCAGGTTTGTGTGACAGCAGTGAGCTTGGAAGGAACCATGGAGTGAGGACTAAGTGCCTAAGCCAATACTATTCCAGTCACAGCGACATCACAGCCAAAACAACTTCCACCCCACTTCACTCCCACGAGTAACGCACTGGTGCAGTTGTCCTGCTGACCGGGCCCTCCTCCATGCGGTGCTTCCCGGAGTGCGGCAGCTCTGAACTGTCCCGATAGTCACGGCCCTTGGAGTTCTGCATGTCCAGCACCGCCCGGCTCTTGGAGGGAAGGGGTGGCTTGTTCTGCTGTCCCTGGATGCTCAGGCTGACTTCAGCCCTTGATGGTTTCACGATTTTTTTGAGAGGTGCCGAGTTTTCCAATGGTGTTGTCATCTTTGGTTTGCCTTGGCTCTTTTCCGCTGTATTCTTTTCTTCCAATTGGAAAGGGGAGGTGTAGGACCGGAATCGCTGTGTGGGCACCAGGAAAGGTGGCGATGGCTGTTTGCCAGAGGTTTTGCTGCACTCAGGCTCCTGTGGCTTTGTGAGATGACAGCTCTGCTCAGGCAGTGATGGCTGCTCTTTCCGCAAGGCCTTGGGATATTCCTGCTCTTTCTTGGGGGCCACCTTGCCCTTGGAGCTCATGGAGCCGTACAGTGGGTTCTCAAACATCTCTGGCCTTTGCTGCCCCTCCTCCTGTGGCACAGGCTCTGCTGTGGATTTCCCCATGTCAGGTGGCCTGCAGTCATGGAAGCAGGGTGAAAAGGAGACTTGTGAAGAGCAGGCAAGAGAGTCACTGGCTGATTTAGGGAGGACATGAATACTATGAGCAAATTAAACTGACTGCCTAAAGGGGCAACAGAAAAACAATTAAACTCAGGGAGAGAGAACAGAAGTGTACATTGTTTTTGCTTTGTTTAATCATTAGTATGATTATACTAATGAAACATGAAACATGACAGCAGAGAGCAAATATGCATAGCCAATAGCGTGTAAACTCCCAGTGTGTAAACTCCCTGCTAGGTTACAGTCCTGCAAAGTGATGTTTGACTTCTTTTTAAACAGATAAACTACTGAGCAAACTGTGCCAGGTCCTTTGATGACTCTGCAACACACACAAATCTGAATTTGAATATTAATAATAATCTTCAGATCTGGTAGAGAGGATGGAAATGGTTGTCTAGAGATTTAAAATAAGAGCTCACATCACGTACTGTGGCATTTTACAACTAGGTCAATCTCCTCTTGCTACCAATGCAGCATGGTATTCCTAAGGAAGGGATAAATTTCATTAACACACCCAAATGCACAGTGTAAGAGTAATGGCTCTGCTGTAGAGTGAGACAATCCATGTGCATTCTCAGCAGAGCCCTTTGAGCTGCAGCTCAGTCTGGAATGACAGCACAGCGGTACAATGGGACACAGCAGGTCCTGTGGGTTTGGGTCACTCGACCTGATTTGGCCAGGCTTTCACCTTCAAATTACTTTAAAAATCAGCCACAGATCACAAATCACTGAACAGACTGGAACAGAGATGAGTGGCACATGTTCTTTGGGTGTCTTCAAATGAGTTGTGTTCCTTGTCTCAAGCTCTTCTCTGGCAGTCAGTGCATGCAGAAGCAGAGAGAGCTGAGCGATGATGGAGCACTGCCAGGTGCAACTCTGACCACTGCAAGTTTTAACTTCCAGAGTGCCACACCCATTTACCAGGGAGCTCGAGCCCAGCTCAGAGAGCAGCTGTCTCTTGGATGTGAAGAGGTCTGCAGCAAGGACACATTGTGCACATGCACTAGGGTGAAGTAGCCTCATCATCTCACTAAGCTGGGATGGGATATTTTCAGTTGCCAGATGGAAATTCTGCATCAAGGCTTGTGATAGTCTAGCTTCTGCAGCAAGCTGGTTATTTGCATAGTGCCAGTAGAGATTCAGTGAAAGTACTTCACGTCTAACACATGAAGGACCTTTCCTTCCCATCCAGGGGAAGATCTGTGTCACTCTCCCCACTTTTCTTCTGCGTTATTACAGTCAACTTTGTAAAATTCTCCTTCTCTTCTCTTGGTAGAGAATTAAACCTACATATATCAGGCTGAGACAACTGAGGTTGTTCAGTCTGGAGGAGACTCCAAGGAGTCTTCACTGCAGCCTTCTAGTGCCTAGAGGGAACTTACACAAAGGAAGAAGAGTGCAGATAGTGACAGGACAAGGAGGAAGTTTTAAAATAGGAGAGATTTAGATGTTAGAAAGAAGGGTGCTGAGGCCCTGGCACAGGGAAGCAGTGGCTGCCCCAGGTTGCATGGGGCCTGGAGCATCCTGGGATAGTGGAAGGTGTCCCTGCCCATGACAGGGGGTGGAATGAGATGAGCTTTAAGGTCCATTCCAATCCAAATCCAACCTGTGATTCTAAGATTTCATTATTTAATTGTAAGTTTAACTCATTATCTTTGGCTTTCCTTTCACAAAAGTCTGAGGAACACTAGTTTTCTTTGATTATGCAGTCTGCACTTGTGACCTTCACTTATCTTCCTATTTCTAGAGATAAAATATATAAAGAATATGTTACACCTTGAACTTCTAAACAGATAATGGAACATGACAGGAGAGAGGGGCCCAGCCTCAGTGCAAAACTCAAACACTCACTGGTACTCTTGACTCCAACTACAAATGCTTCTGTTTGCTGTAGCTTGGAGGGATGGTTTTGGAGATAGAGGTGACAAAGAGGGTGATGTGGAGGATGACTGACTCTGCCCCATTAGGGAGGTGTTCTCCTTGGACTGCTGCTCATAGTTCCAGAGGGAAGGTGTCTGCTCTGATGAAGGTGTCTGCTTAAGCTGGCAGGTTGCAGAGGGCTGCTGAGAGAAGGCAGCCATGCCCAGGTAGTTGGGGTTGCTGATGTCTGTGGGGGTGGAGCTGCTTAAGAGAAGAAATATTGTTAGGGAGGTACATGCACAAATACATTTAGGGTTTTTGTCTCCCTGCCAGCTACAAAGGCGTCTGTGCCCACTGACTGCTTAGATTCAATACCACCTACTGTTTTTTTACTTTTATTTTCTGTCACTGTTGCTTCAGAATTAGGGAATAAGTGGGAGTCCTGTTAGTGCCTCACTCTCCTTGGTCACTGGAGAGGAAGCAGCTGGGTCAAGACCACCTCCCCCACCCCCAAAATAGTTCCTGTGGCTGTGGCAGATTCTTCCCTTCCCAGGCTGCAGAGAGCACTCAGCTTTGCAGCCACATACAGGGGCTGTCATGGGTTTCTGGGCCCAGCTGGAAGCTGCCTGCAAGGAGAAGCCCCAGTGCAAACAGGTGAATGGACAGCCTTACCCAGACTCACCCTATGACTCTTGGAAAGGAAAAGCCAGGCAGTTTGAGCATAGTTTCCCACCCCAAGCTGTCAGAGATAAGGTGGCAAGGTTACCGTAAGATATCCTCCTTTCCCAGGCTGTCTGGAGAAGGGACAGCACTCCCCCAGTAGCGAGCGATGGCTGCTGCCTCTCTGGCCATTAGATGAGTAGATTTTGACTTTCTGTTGGAAATTAAAGGGCCTTTTTCAAGTGGGTGCAGGGACCCGGCGTGGCTACTGTATTCTCAGCTTTTGAAGCTTTGGGCACAGGAGCATTGACCCGTCCTGACCAGACAGCCACAAAGCAGCTTCCCAGTGCTCAGCACACCTGTTGATGCTGCTCCCACAGCAAGCCCAACTTTGCATTTATGGTGCCAACTATTTCTCTGGAACTGACTTACCCCCTTGCCCTTTACCTGTCAGTCTGATCCCAGTCTTTGTTAGGCTCTAAATTGCTGATGTTCTTTGGTTTCTGCCCAGTGATTTCATCGCGTTCAATCTTGACAAAATCTGAAGGAAAGAAGGAGCACACATATCTCCAGAGTCTGGCTGCTCAAGTTTTCTTTGTTCCCGTGTTCATTAAGACATCTCTCTTTGTCCATCAGAGTGATGGACAGTTTTAAACTGTTTTAAACTGCTGTTTCTATTATGTTTTCAACTGCCCACTAATACATGTCATGTCTTGTTGACAGAGGAAGAAATGTGTGTCTTGAAATACAAAGGTCATGACCCACCAAACAGCCACATACAGTCATTTTACCCTTGAGAATAATTGCAAATGTCATTAATAATTGTAAATGGCTGCTTCTGTACTCTGAACGAGAACAACAGATAGCAAGGTGAAAAAAAGCAAAGTTTGTGATCTTCTAGCTAAGGACTGCTCATTGAGAGCCTAACATACTTTTTGCTCCCCAGGATGCCTGGAGCAGAGAGAGCTTGGCATGGAGTGTGTCACGTCACAAGTGGAAGTAAGGTATCCCCATTCAATAAAAGCAATGCTGGTGACAGACAGGGGGCTCTCTCAGTCCACTGAATTTACGTGAATTATGAAAAACCCTAAGGAATCTAATGTTGTGTCTTCCTGAAAGAGTACAGGTATGCTCCTAAGAGCTAACCATACTCACACCTCCTTGCACTCAGCATCAAAAGCACTCTCTGTGACTACAGGCACTACAGAGATAATTTTCAATTCCTTGACAGCTATCAGAAATCTTTTGAAGTGAGATTCTCTAGCACAAGCATTGCAGAGATGATGACGCTCCTTACCATACAGTTTCTCTCTCTGTTTTCCTTGTGATGTTTGTAACTTGATTTCTCCTTGGAAGATCCCTGTTTTCTCCCCATGGTGTGTCAGCACAGTATGGATGGGAGCTAAGGATTCTGTTGCTTCTATTCGCAAGGCAATGCAGCCTTCCCCTAAAAGACAACAGGGAGACAGTGAGGCTGGGACTGAGAAACTAAGCACTGAAATATTTTGTGTCATCTACTACCAATGCACTGACAGGTCTGTGATTACTGGAGAGAATTTGCTTTGAATCACAGTAAGGAGCGTAATATCTCCTGAGAAATTAGGGGCATTTATTTCACTTCATGTATGTGTGAAGTATTTGGGCATTGAAGATATCTGTGCGAAACTTCAGGGTTCTGAGCTTCCACTCCTGGTAAGGAAAAGATGAGCCTATGGCTGCTTAGGCAAAGAGCCTTCTGTGGACAAGGACTGCAGTCTCTGGCTGGTGAGAATCTGGGATCCACAAGCGCAGCCAAATACTTTCTGTAGCCAGGAGAAATGCCTCAAGTAAGTGCAAGTGAAACAGGATTTGTATGTTCTGAATAAACACATGCTGACTCCTGGTTTAGTTTGTTTCTAACTTTCTTTTTAAACCACTGCTCTTTCAGAGCTGGTAAAGCTCACACAGGTTGTTGCTTTGAGTTCATAATTACTTCACAAAATATTGCCCACAGTGTATTTCTGTGTATGTTGAGTTCTAAATCATAGATGTTCAGTCTATAAGAGTTACTTCTGTTCTCTCCCACTCTTTCAGTGGTTTGGAAGAATCTAAGTAGATTTTGATTCATCCTGAACTTCAGAGCTAAGCACTTACCGTAAGATTCATCACTGTCTGATGACTTAATGCTGATCAGGATATGTTGATCCAGTAGGTATTCCGGGTCTGAAATAATTGGAGTCAGCTGCAAAGACAAGTTAAGGTGTGTCAATACAATACATGGTTGACAGGAGCATACTTCTCCCTGGGACTCAGTCCCAAATGAGGAGAAAACTGCTGGATAAACCCATGAGGGTATCATGTCACCTCCAGGATCAGCTTCTGATAATATCTGGATATCTGTGGTAGAAGGCTGCACTCTTTGAGTCCCAGCACAGTGAACAGAATGCTACATATCTGACACTCATGGGATGAGCTGCAGTTTTCTCCTGTAGTCCAGGACTGAATACTGCCTGAGGAGGAAGGCATCTGCACTCTGATTACAGTCTGTTCCCAAAAATCTATCTAGCTGTTGTTGTAATCGCTTACTGCAGAGCCTTTCCCCAGTGTAAGGTACTCTTTCCAAAGTCAGCACTTCTTCTGGGCTATTTAGAAGGGTATTGACATGCACATTTGCTCCAAATCCAGGAGCTCTTGTAGTTTTTTCAATTTCCACCATGCCAAGAAATGAAGAACAGCTCTGATCTCAAGGACAGGACTTGTGTCTGATACTGACACACAGAACACTACTTCTGGCCACTGATGTTCTTTTTAACACAGGTAACAAATATTTAATAAACTTTTCTAAAATATACCAAGAGAAAGTTTTGTCTGACCAGGCAAAGAAACTTCAGAGCAGAGTTACTGTTTAAGATGTTTTATTTTCCATTTAAAATTAAAAAAAAAAAGGGCCTGCTTAAACCAACATTATGTTCACTAAAAAGTAAGAAAAAAGTCATGGCTCTGAATGGCATAATCATGCCAGCAAAATTCTTGATAGAGATGTAAGTACACTGACATGAAAGTCCTTTCCTGCTTACAACACTCTGCTTAGCCTAAGCCCATCCTGCATTCTTACAGTCCCTTTGAGTGGAAACAAGACCACAACAATGTTCCTGAAAATAGTATTTATGAAAGTAAAAGACATAATGTTGCTTATGGGATGAAAGTGGAAGCTTCTCTTCCAGATGAATATAGAGGTATAGTCCCAGTTTACCTTTGGAAGTGCCTCAATGAACTTTACCACAAGCTCCCCTTCATTTCCATCCTCATTTTCTCCTTCCTGGCTCTTTACAAAGCCTGCAAAGGGACAAGAAAGGAGTTTACAAGGAAAGAGACAGCAAGTCTCTTTCAAGGGCTACAAATCCTCTTCACTATGTCTCCAAAGAGCCTACAATCATTTTCCTACTTGGACGCAAATTTTAAAAGTATTAAGAAGCTTAAAGTCTGAGTTTTGGATGAATTTTTACACAGTAAATTTGCAAGTGGTTTTGCTAGAGCATTGTTAAATGGTTTTATTTTGCAGTTAAACTTGGCACTGAGGAGCTCAGTGCATACATGGACTGGAGGATAAGAACATGACAGCTCTTCCTACGCCACTCAAGATAGCATGCTTTTGAAATTCTAATTTAAGATTCGTAATACACTGTTTCCATAGAAATTTATGCAAATTTTTATACAGCCAAAAAATAATCTTTTATGGAACTGTCTTTGACACAGCGCTCTGACATGCGATAATGTGATGAAGCATCCACCAAAGGCTTGCTGTCCCACTTAAAAGAGCAGATCTGTGATGGGAAATTGCTTTAAAAAACCCACAGCAAGGGCACGTAGGCTTATGTTACATAAACAGCTGAGACTCAGCCCCACAGCATGGGCACAGGCAGTGAAATCTGCAGTGCTGCGAGGTACACAGTCCCACTTACAAAGTCACATCACTAGCATTCATTTCCCATTTAGTTGATCCTCTGACTTATTCTTTGTTAAACCAGTTTAATTCAATTATTTTAAAATATTTTTGTTAGCATAATGCAGATGCTTTATTTTGAAATCACCTGATCATTTGTAGTAGGCACAATTAGAAATGTAATCAATCATGTCTTTGCTATATAGGTATTTTCTGTGTGATAAACAAGAACAATACATGTTTCCCATCAAGAAAGAAATTATCAGATTGATAAACAAGGTGGAAAAACTCTTGGAAGGCTACATGTCTAAGCATGGATTACAGCTACCTTGGCTGTGGGGTTTGGATTGTATAGCTGACAGTATAGAATGTCTTGCAAACTACAGCAAATCTTTAGGACATCCCTTTTTTTGCAGTGGAACCAATGATCCACATAGCTATATTTTTAGATCTAAGCAAGAAGGAGAACTAATCCAAACACTCAGAAAACTTTGACAGAAACAATAAAGATGGGCAAACCCATACTTTCTAAGCAGCTAGAATGAAACTCAATGTAGAACTTGGTCTGGGACTTGGTCTTCAGAGTAGCGTAGCAATGTAGGAACTCTATCTCCCCTTGGGAATCTGTGTATTTGGAGTCTAGGAAAGAGGAAGGGAAAATAATGTCACTTTCAGCAGGAGATAAAAAGAGGGCTTTTTTCAATGGACTTTTTTAAAAGTCTTAAAGTATTAAAGAATCAGGTTTTTCTCTCAGCATATACAAAGTACTGCATTCTGTATCCAAGGTGAAGATGGTACACGTGCACCCAACCTGACTGACCATTCTTGGAAACAAACTGTGAGGTGACTCCTACTTCAAAGGTGGCAAACACAGGACTGTGGTCACTTGTCATGATGTCAGTGGTACAGCCTGCCAGTGAGAAAGGGAGGATGGTTACTGCCCTGCTCCGGAGAGATCACTGCCAAAGAAATATTATTCAGTAATTTTCCAGAAAGCATAAACGTCTCTTTGGTAACTGTCTCTAGTCAAAAGTGTTTCTTTACATAAACTCATGTCAGTACACATGACTGTAATTCTTGTGTCAGAATACAGAAAGATTTGTTTAAGGGACACCATTTTACTGTACTGTTTTGTAGATGACTGTCAGTGTTAGATTCCTCCAGTACAAAAAGCCCTTACAGGCTTCCTGGTTACCCCTGCAACATGCACAGCTAATTATAGCTCTAATATGGCAGGAAAATCACACAAGAATACACTGGTGCTACTTCAGTGCTACAAAGCAACTCCTGGACCAAGGTTAACAGTGAGTGAGCAAGGCCTGATTGGATCTAAGCACATACTGAGCTTACATTCCAGCAAACCAAATCATTCCAGAGGTGCCTATTCAACCCCACACCTCAGCATCATGGGCTCTGTGATCAGATCAGCCTGCCTTATCCCTGACAGATTTTCACAGCCCTGCTCCCAGTCCATGCATAGGAAACCATGAACAACATACTCAGATGCTCAGTCCTACATATAGCCAATGACATTTCAGAACTGGTATTTGAGTCTTTTTTTAAACAGGTTTTGTGGCTTTTTCTCTTCCCTGCACTGCACTTTAGTGATGCTTCTCAGCAGGAGAGGAAATGGGCTCTTGATACCACACAGTTCTTCTGGAATATGATTTGATACAAGAGATGTCTGCAGACTGGACTGTGCACACAGGGTCTGTCCTGCTGGCAGCCACTGTCAGGAGTTCCTGGTAGTGACTGCACAGGAAAAGTGGTGGTTGCTGCCAAGAAATAACTGATGTAAAGTGATCCTACAGTATGGCCTAAAGTTGGACAGCTGCAACTGTCCAGGTGGTGTTCTGCATATAAAAGAATAACAGAATGAATTCCCAACCCAGTAAGGTTGAGAGATTTTGGCTCCCCACTGCCTGGTTTAACATCAGGTCCTTCTATGCTGAGTGCCTGGCAGTGCAGGGAGATCCTACAGATTCTGTTCTGAATCATTTCCGTTTCAGACTGGTTGCCTTGCTATCGACAATCTGTTCTCCACCCACCATAGGACTGACACACAACGTGCACCATGGGGTAGGATTTCCAGAGCACTCGATCACACCAGGATGGCAAATTGTACTTCATCTGCAAACCAAAGGAGAAGTAATGTCAAGAAGAATGGAAAGGGCCAGTTCACAAAAGAACAGGAAATTCACCCAAGCACTATACAGTTGTGTCAAGTCTTTTTGTTTGTATTGACTCCTTTCAAAACACTACAAGGGCAGAAAACACAGAGATTGATTTAAGTCACTTTCTTCTGCAGGAGTTGCTGTCACAGCTCTGCCCTATACCTCTGAAGTGAAATCAGTTTTCACCTACCCCTGTAGCTTTTTGCTTGGTATATGCATACTTCTCCCGGGTGCCTCTCTCAAAGCGGTAGGTTGGAGCAAAAGTAATCTCCTCTTCCTCTAAAACAGGGAAAGAGCTCTGTTACAGCTTGGCCACTGGAAGCCCTCACCTGGGCAAGAGAGCCAGTGCCTGGGACACCCTGCCCCAGGCTGGGGCTGGCAGAGAAAGTTGGTGGATGTAGCAGAGGAACCTGCCAGCCAGTGCAGGATCTCACCGAACTGCAGGAACACCTTTTGGTCTCTTCTCTCAAGGAGAAGCTGGTCGAAAGCCAGCAGCTCCGGATACTGCTGCTGCCTGATCTTCTGGATAATATTCTCTGCTTCCTGCCAACAGGGAAACAGCAGAGTTGTAGATGATGCAAAACCTTCATATAAATACTCCCTTCAAATGCTCCTGAACTGTTTGAAAGAGCTGTGGCCCCTGCCACTTCCCCACCCTTCCCTTCACTGAAAAGCCCCAGCCTTTGTGGTGGAACATTTATCTATCAAAACAGGTATTGAAATGCCCACACATCCCCTGCACAAGAACACACACACTCACAATCACATGCACATTAACACCGAGCTTGGTGTTTTCTCCCGCATGCTGAAGCCTATCCAGGATTTATGATGGCTCGCCTGTTCCTGAAGGCTTGTTTGAACCATTCCAAGCTCACCAACCAGAGCAGAAATGCAGTCTCTAGATTGAGCCATTCAGGGACAGATGCTTCTTCACAGTGGGAAGGAAAGTTGGGAGGTTTGGGGAACTGAGGCTGCCTGAAGCAGTAAAGTGTGCCAGATGGTATTCCTGGGTCCATTAATCCTTGGAGAGGGCAAAGGGGATTTCCTTACTCTCCCTCAAATGGGGCCACACTCACGCCCTGGGGATCCCTTCTGTCTCCCCTCTTTTTGCCATTTTGCCCTAGATTGGAAGAAGAGAGCACTTCTATAGCAACAGTGTGCTGTCCCTGCAGGGCTTCCCGCAGTGTCCCGCACCGTTGGGGGCTGTTCCACACGGTAGTTCAAGTCTCCCAGCCAGAAAAGATGAGTAAAGCGATGAGTGATGTTAAATGGACTCAGTTTCTTATCTCCCAGTGTCAGGAAGCGCAGGATGTTCATGTAGTTCTGGTTGCGTCTGTCAAGACAAGAAACATCTGCCTGACATCCTAAATTGCGATGGAATTTCCAAATGGAGCAGAGGCTGCAGCTTTACCAGGTGGGAGCTGGTCCAATTCAGCAGCTACAGAGGAGCTGAGCAGATCAGAAACGGAGAATTTGCCACCCCAGCAGACAGGCCCAGGGAATGTGCTCCTGAGGCCACTTCTGCTGCCTTCTGGGGCTGTGCTTGTCTGAGCTACATGTCCTAGAAACTCAGCATTAGATTGTTTCCTTCAGATTTCAGCAGCAAACACATAACTAGACTTTGGCAGCTCTTACAGGCCCTGAGGAACCCTTCCATAGATGTTAACTTCATCAGTAGCAAAGACCCTGTGCAGAAATTCCACACCATCTGTTTCCTGGACTGGGAAAGATGATAAGGCCAAACTCTTCAAGTCCTTTTCACTTTCTAAACCACTCCTTCCAACTGCTCCAGCTCCCCCCAGTGTGGGCACTGATCTCCCAGTGGTGTCAGGATCTTTGCCTTCCAATCCTGTGCTGACCAGAACCTAATCCATGAACCCTTATTTCACAGCTAGGTATAGAGAATTAATCACTGTGAGGATATTCCTGTTCTACACCTCCCTCCTGGTATTCCTGAAGGATCTTTCTCAGCTGTGTCCTAGGGCTCACAGCACTGCCTACAATGATGAGGAAGTCAGTCCCCTTTTGGGGATTATTTTGGTATTGGAAAAGCCTTTCCACATTTCTCCAAAACACTGTAGATCATGGAACTGTTTTCCTCATGCAGTGGGTTTTCATGACAGGTCATGCAAGTGTTGTGTGAGACTTTTACACTTGGCTCTGAAATAATTTTACCGTCCATTTCCCCTGCACCCATGTGGTATGGTGCACACAGCAGAAGCCCCTTGTTTAAATGTCCTCCCAGGAGACATTAAACAATTTTTTTTATGGTCAGGAAAACATGTTTGTGCCTGTCTGGTGGGCCCTCCTTCCAAACATGGCCCAGAGAATTTCACCCTGGCTCAACAACCATTTCTGAGAGGGGAAGATGTATCTTACCTGTGCTTCTTTTCACTTCCTGAAGTCAAATGGCTGTTAACAAACCCAAAGGAGGTTCCATTAAACATGAATGACACCCCCACTGCTCCTTTATTACCTGGCAAAAGGGAAGCCAAAAATGACAAAAAATTAATACACCTCCAGGCTGAGTCTAGCAAAGATAATAAAGCACCTAGCACCTAGCACATGTGAAGTGGAGGATGGAGAAGAGAAATTCACTTAATCAGCACAGAAAAACTTAGTGCATACAGCACAGATTGTGGGAACAAATTTTTAAGGGTGCTAAAAAATTAGTTGAAGAGAGAGAAGTGCAACTTCCTTGTGAAACCCAAGAAAGAGCAATCCAATAGCATATATATATATATATATATATATATTCGTACTAAGTATACACACAAATAGACTTCCTCTCTTACAGGGTAAAATACAATCAGTGCTAGTGGAATGTAACTTTAGGAGTGTCACATAAATGTTGCCCAAGGAGTGTTGGAGAAGAAGAGCTGTTCCATGTGGGCTGAGCAGATCGCAGCTGTCTGGGCAGGACCTGCCCGTGCCTCACCCAGCGTGTTGGCAATGCCTGTCTTCACATTGGCTGTGCAGATGTGGCTGATGCGGTTCTCATGTTCTGGCTTGGCCAGGACAACAATCCTGATATTCCAGAGGGTATGGATGGCTATCTGCAGGAATGGGAAGGGTAGAGGTTGTATTTCTGTAAATACCTGCCAAGCTGCACTGTGGCTGCAGGCTTCCTGACTCCTTCAATATCAAGTTCAATGACAATAAAGGGAGGGAAAGGGAGGAGGTACAGGCAAAATCCCACTTATTCCCATCTCTTTTACATGTACAACATGTATACCCTCATCTCCTGAGTTCCATGCAATAGCTGGAATAACCCCTCACCACTTTGAAGCTGATACTGGTGATTTCCTGCAGAGATTGCCTTAGGGTCTCCAGCCATTCCTTCTCCCCCTGGGGGTCCTCCTGGGTGCCAATCACATAGATGTCATGAGGGATGTAGTCAGCAGTGTCATCACGGGTCTTCCCCTGCCCCTTGGAGAGGAACCAGGAGGTGATCTTCTTTGGGGGTGGGGCTGCACCTTTTATTAACACATCAAACACCAAAAGAAGTAAGAGCATATCTTGTCAAAACTAGGATGATGATAACACATGGGGACAGAAATTATGGGCTTCACATCTTGTATCACTTTTGTATCAGCCAGGGCACACTGTTCTAAGATGACAATGATGTTACCCCCACTTGTGTCACTGACAAAAGGAGTGATTCTGCTTTGACCACCTGCCTCTTGTGGATCAGCTCTCCAAGGCCAAGGCTAGTCAGGAGTAAAGGCAGGGAGCTGCACTCCTCCTGGTCTGCCACTGCCTTGACCTTATTCCTTAAGGATGGCAAAGCACAGACAGCTCAGGTCACAGCAGCTGAACCACGCTTCTGTCCCAAAAAGGAGAAAAATAACCTGTATTCCACTGTCCTCACCCTGTCCCCTTCTCTAAGTACCACAGACACTCGGCTGTCTTCCCAGGCTGGACATGAACTATCCCTAGTCAAATGAGAGCAGCTGATGTGCAGTTTGTGGAATTGTTCCTGTCCTTTCAGCATGGTGGTGGATGTTGTGCACTGCTGCACCAGCTTTGTGCCAGCCACTGTCACTGAAGCAATCCTTCAGTACCCAACAGGGACAACTTCATGGTCCTTTGAGTGGAACCATGAGAAGTGTCAAACCACATGCAAGAGGAAGTCTAGATATCAGCTCTTCCCCAGGGAAGAGGGCAGCCCTGGCGTACAGACCTGCCATGGAACACAGAGAGTCTGGAGCTCGTCATGCCAGCTGAGCACACCTTTAGGCAGTGTCTGAAGGAGTGCCCATGGCAGAAGAAAGCCCATACCCATATTCCAGGTGCCAATGAAGATGGTGATCATATCAGGCTCTGGTTGCTCCGAGTGTTTATTCTTCATCTGCTGCAGAAGCTGGCAGAACCCTTCTCTCTTCTAGACAGGGAGAAACAGAGAAAATTAATGAGATACTTAACTCGTCTGACATGACCTCCTGAAAAACCAGCTGAACCAAAAAATTCCCAGCACACTTGAAGGGCAGATTAGCTCTGGATTATCCCGAAACCTTTCAAGAGGCTGCCTTTCCTGTGGTGCTTTTTTAGTAATTTAGCTTTGTTTTAACAAATGCTGAGCTGGTCAGAAAAAAAATCTTTTCTTCCCTCTTTGTCTATATGAACCTTTGCACAGTGGCCATCTCAACACCTTGCTTCTCCTCAGTGCTTGCTCTGTCCTCCTGCCTCAGTGACAGCATTTAGGTGTCCAGTATCTCCCTTTAGACAGTATATTTGCTCATTTTCTGGATGTTTCCAGAACAAAGGGGAAAATATTTCTTACAAAGGCAACTACTGTCCTTTAACAGTTCAGCTTCCTACCAAGGAATGTCCCATGTTCCACTCCCACCTGTGTACCTACTCCAGGCTGGCAGAAAAGAAACACCATGTATGTACCTTGGAATCAGAAAAAACATATTCCTTCCGCTGTGTTTTTTCTTTTTCTGTTTCCAGAACTATCACCAGCTTGTTTGGAAGCTTCTGGGACTTGATGAGCTGCAAGACTGAACAGAGGCTGGGTGTCATAAGCTGCAGTCACTGAAATAAGGGTCCCACCAAAACCAAGAGAAGCTCAAAGGCTTGGGATTTACATGGTCTTTTCTATCTGTGCAGTTTTCCTTGTAGACCTGCATTTTAAAGTTGCTTAATCCTGTTCCCAATAGGAACAGATTTGGACTCCAAATTAAGAGGACCCCCAAAATTCTCCTGCTTTGAGCACTTTTCCATCCCAAGCCTTGCAGTGTGAAATAAAGCCTAAACTTTGTGCCAGCAATCCCCCTGTATCCTGAGCCAGCCTATATGTGTTCCTTCCCCATCTGTGAAAGAGGATGTAAGTCCTCATTTGGTGGTAAAGGTGATTCCTCGCATCTAAAATAGCAGCTATTATGAACACCAGGTAGAGAAAGCCACGCATGAAAGCTCATCTTTTTGATTACTGCCAGCAACAGGTTGATTTTCTAGCAGGAGAGAGCCCAAGGGCATAATCTACTCTCTCACAAATGGCTTTTTTTCAACTTCAGTGAACTGTCTGTTAAGAAAGACAACAGTAAAAAGGGAAGTTGTTTGAATCAGGCAACCACAGACCAAACTGGCATTGTTCATGGTGAGAGATACCAATCTACATACAAAAAAATCAAGGGAAATTCACTGAAAAATGTTACTGAAACTGAGTGTCTGGCTTTTTACCATCCAAAATCATCACAGAAGTCAGCATGTTCCTGCAGAATGGTGGGGTTTATTTTCAAGCGACATTGCTTTTCAGAAGAAAAATGGTTCTATTGCAACCAGCTCTATGGGGAATCTTCTACCAAAACCTGCTCCCTTGCAGTGTTAATTCCAGTGTCTTCATTTAGACCTGGAGACTGGTCAGTCTCCAAAAACAATCTATGAAAGCTGGTTATCCCAGTACTGAGATATCTGTGTCTTGCTGACTGGTGCTCATGCAGCACCCAGGACCTGCCCTCTGGGCCAAACCTTGCCCTGAGGAGGGCTGAAGGGAACCCCTCCCATCATCCAAGGACCCAGAGCCTAGTCCAGCATTTGTGACATTAAGCTGACATCTTACTTTTCTTGTGGGTATAAAACTTGTCCTCTGGACCATCCTTAGATCTCTTGATAATCAGTTTTCCCATTTCCACATCCACTTTGAGTTGTATTTTTGAGAAAATTCCTAGGGAGTCAGTTTTCACCTAGTGGAATACAGAGAGGTTTTCCATGAGGGACCTTCTACACTTCAGTCGCATGTATTACAAATGCAGCACTTCCCTCAATTTCTGGACACATATCATTATGCCAGTCTCACCAGACATCTCTTAGGCATTTTTATGGTGCCAAGCAGAATCCAGGAAAAGCTGTTACCTCTGTGGCAGCACAGCAAACTTCCCAGGAGCTGAGATACTAACATAAATCTGCTTTACTGTCCTTCCACATTATGATCAGCGTTGTTGAAGGAGTAAATTTACCTCAAAAGTGACAGGGGGGATAAGGGAGCGCCGGTGTGTTGAATCAGGACCTTCAATTAACAGTGTTTTCACCTGTAAAATAATTATGTGTCATTTATTGCATTTGGTGATTCTGCACTACACTGAGAGTAATGAAATCAGAACAAAGCAATCTTACTGTGGCAGAGCACTGCACTGACGATGAACAGGAAACAAACTAGAGGCAAAGGAGGACAAGAAGATGACATAAAATAGTTTGAAAACTCTACCTTTTCTTCAATAGAAGACAGCAAAGAAATCAGCTGGTTGAGTTTCAATACAATATTGGCTGGACTTGTTTCACCAAGCATCTGAAACCACAGCACAGGAACAAAAAAAGAGAGAGATGGATAATTACCAAGCCCACAGAGCACAGCTTGGAGTGCAGTCCCAGGAATACCTCACACAGACCAAAGAGCAGCAATTTTACCTTCACCACTCTGATTTTTAATGGGCAGCACAAGAGCAGAGAACATGCAGAAGTGTGGGAGGCTGGAAGGACAAATCTGTAAACCTGTTCCATAAGGTCAAGGCAGCTGGCCATGCATGGGAGTCAGCTTGCTGCTGGGGGCAAGTCTGCATGACCAGGCCTGGGGCTCAGCATACAGAAGTCCTGGAATTTTGGTTTTCTGGCAGGGAAAGGAAAGTCATGGGGACTTGAGTGGGCTTGGGAAAAGGAAGGATGTAGCAGTGAAACATCCTGGAATCAGGTTAATGGAAAAACAAGTGTGCAATGCCAGCCCACATTCTGAGGGAGGATGGGGAGGTGGGAGTCCTCAGGCAGCTGGTGGCACTTTCCTCTAGGACAGGAAAGGGGGGGCAGGTGGAGAGGGCTATGGGATAAGCAAAACTGTGGGATAGAACTCACTGTTCGCCCCCTGCACTGCAGCAGAAAGAGGCTAAAGAGAACATAAGTGGCACATGCCCACCTATACCCCACTGGCTATGGCTGCACACCAGAGCCATCCCTGCCCCCACTGACAGCCACCCACATACCTGTCCTGCTCTTCCCACCTCCCAGCCCCCTTACCTGGGAGCGCTGGTGGGTAACAGGATGCAGCTGCTGCTCAAACACCTTCTGGATGGACTCCAGAGATGGGAGAGTCCTCGAGGCCTCACTGGGAACACAGACACGGCACAGGTCTAAGGCTGTGGCCGGCTCCCTGGGTCAGTTCACACTCGGACACAGCCACACGGATGAGATGACAGACACATGTTCACACTGGGCACACATCCACACTGGGTCTGCCCTCGCCATGTGCCCCCTAAGCTGTGGGATGCGTACGGGAGCAAATCCCAGCTGCTTGGTGACATGGTCAACAGGGCAGTGTGAGTCAGGCAGCTGCCTTCGTCTTGCAAAGCTGGCACACGGCCATACTGGCTGCTCCTTGGGTTTTGCTTTGCTAACTTCTTAAATCTCCCCAGAAAGGTATCCCAGTCTGGACAAAACCTGACAATATGGTGTACAAGCAGGATCAACCCAACTAGGCCAACTCAGATCCAAGTGCACTCAAATGCCTCAGAGCCCAGCACAGTCTGATGCCCCTGAACACTGCAGCAGTGGCAGCAGCTCTGTTCTGTACAGGGCCTGTGCAGCTGCTGAGATTGCTGAGGACAGTGCTGGGGACTATGCTGGGGACTCTGTGCAAAGAGGAAACTAATTTGCAGATATTTCATCTCACATGACATGCCAGGTGCAGCAAGGGGGTGGAACAGGCAGCCTTTGATCTCCTGGGCAGAACCATTTACAGGTAACAATGTCATTCCTTCAGTGCTTCCCAATGAGATTCCACAGGATGCTCATTTGTTGAAACACTGTTGTGTGAATTTGGCACAGAATCTCCATGCTGATAATGACAAGACTTGTTCCAGAAAGAGCAGCCAGGGAGCACAGGTCAAAAGGAAGGTGATGGTGGTGAGCAGCACTAGAATGCTTGCACTGTGTCTAGTCAACAGTGGATATTATGATTTCCCTCACTTTCCTAAGTCTGAACGGACTGGATTTTATTCCATCTTTGTCAAAGAAAGTGCTCCAAAGCAAAAGTGTGCCTGCCTGAAGAGATATGTCTAGGTGCTGAACCAAAGATGACTAATTTCCTAAATTAAACATTCATATTTGACATTTCAATCTGAAAGGCTTGCTGTGGAACACACAGGAGTACAAAGCACATGTAGGAATCTGATTCTGCTAATTTTATTCCTCCAATGCCACTGTTCAGCTCTGGATCACCTAGGGCCAGTGTCACTGCAAACAGTTCTGGCCCCAAACCCAAGAGTCCCATTGCTGCCATGGAGTCAGACCCCAGAAGGCTGCAAGCAGTTGCAGGAACATTGGGTGAAGTTTAGTTTGAGAAGACTGAAAGGATATTTACTGTGATGTGCAAGCCATCTCTTAAAAACACTGCAACAGCTGTTTGAAGCAACTCAGGAGTGATTTCCCATTGGAAAACTGCCCTCTGTTCACAGTGCAACATGTAGGTTGTGTGTGAGGACGAGGAAGAGCTCCTGTGGGTGTTCAAGCCCATTAAAACCACCAGGTGGTTTTAATTAATTTGTAACTTCTTTTGTTTCCTTCTCTTGACAGTATAAATACCTTTAGTGATCTTCATTGAAGTGTCAGAAGCCTGTGTATCCACATGCAGTTGCACAAGTGGTGGTATCACAAGTGCTTGAAAAACTGCCTTAAAAACTCTATGTGCAAATTGTCTATTGAGGGAGAATAAACAAAATATGCAGAACAGCAAATGATGACCAAATGATGGCTTCAGACAGTAGCAGACTGAACAAACAGACTGCTATTGGTGTTTTTTACTCGAAGATGAACCCCCTCCCTGTGCCCCCGCCCCCC